TTTTGTACTGTGAAATAATCATCTATTTTATTCATTCACAGGTGCCCTTGTGTATCTTGTTGTCTTTGATCGATTCTATGAGAAGCTTCTTCTTAAATTGCAACGAATTTGTCTTAGATTTCGTCAGATTCGTACACGTAGCTCAAGGACCAGTTACGAGTTGCCTGATGAGACTGGAGGGAATAATGATAGAGATAAAGTCAATTCTACTGTAAGTACACATAGTTAGTCTAATTGTAATAAAATAAAATTGATATTTATGCCATTATAGCTAGAAATTTCTGCTAATTTGCAGATTTGAAAAAATCACAGAGATTTAATCCTTAAAAATTTGAGACATAAATTAATGGCCTATTTAAATTTAAAGGGATGGTGAATTTATAAAAATAAAACCTGCAAAAGCCAATTTTATAGCAATTCACATGAATTTTGAGCCACGGAAGTTTCTAGCTAGTAGTGACACAGTATGTGACATTTTTGTGTTATATAATTTTTTTGATTATTATGTGTGTTTCTCATTATAATACATCCTCACTCTTACTTATTCTATTCTGTAGGCCTATGCTATTACAATTGCTGATACGGAGCCTAATGAACGCAGTCCATTGCATTCTTCTGCTACTGGTAATACATGATTAACAATCATCTCTTCACTGCTAATGATCATTCATGAACTGCATCACAGGTTGCTAAAATTAATTAAATAACATTATCTTTAAATTATTTTTGCTGAACAACTATATATGGTTAACTGCAACTTATTTTTTCACTAAAAATAGATAATAGTAATAATTAAAATTACTTATTATTAATTAATTTTACTAAAGTCAATTAATTGTAGATAGATTCAGTTGTTGCAGCCTAACTCATTTGTAGTTTTTGCTAGAAATGTAAAGTGCCTGCTTAATAAGTTTTTCAGTTGCCCGAGGAAGAGAATATCAATGAACTCCTTATTATGTGTAGTCTTAAACCCAAGGTTGTGCATTATTTCACCAACTGGGTCCAGCCTTATCTCTTTCTTTCAGCGCTCCTGTTCCAGTCCCTCCTTTTCTTTTCCATCAACCCCATCTCTCTGCATCAAAGAATATGTGTACTGGAAGCCTCAGAGATGAGTGACATGTATAGAAAGTTAGGAACCTCTTTGACTCTATAATAATTTGAGTGGCACATATGAACTTGACTTTTCTGTTCTGTATTCATGCAAACCTCTTATTAATTTGCAATAGTGCAAGTAGCAGAAGATGGCACTAAATGTGGATACTGGATACAGTTAAAAGCAACGTAACAATAATAATCCAATGTATCACACAATGTACATGTAATATTGAGTAATGTAACCATGGCAACAGCTCCAAGAGGTAATCCGGATATCCATGATGAAATGGTGGTCAGTCTGAAGAAGATCTTTCAATAAATATTTGTTTTAATTCACTAAGACTCTATTGAGCCTGTGTGTGTGTGTGTGTGAGAGAGAGAGAGAGAGAAAGAAATAGTGTCATTATGTATGTTAGAGAATAGTGCCAGTGTGAAATGGCCTCTAGTCTAGCCTCCTCTCCACTAATTAAACCATGCATAAAGTGAAAAAGAAGGTTGGGGTAAGGGCCTGGTTTGTACTAATACTATAATTATTATTAATGAAGTTTACAATGAATACTCATAGACAGCACAAAAAATAAGACACGACTAGAGAGTACTGTATGAGAAATTGTGATAAAACACAGAGCCCCAAAAAATAAAAAAAAAACAAAAAGGATTTTAAGAGCTACAGATTTAATAAGTTTAAAATTACAGGAACGATTCGATACACCTATAGCATGGACATAATAAGTGAAATGTGCAAAAACTTGTGGAGTCAAACTTGGATAAAAAGGTCTGCCACATTAGATTAACCAATCATCCTTTAGCAGAGGGCAAAAAGCAATTAAGTGTATCAGCTAGCTTTTATTAGCTTATTCTAAAGTTGTGGTCGTCGGTTAAAATAAAAGTGGCAAGACAGTTTATGCTTTGAGTAATTGTGAGATAATTTACAACTATTGAATCTGGTGCAAGAAGAGAATAATATTAATATTTATTATATTAAATTTGGTAATAGAAATAGGGGAAGAAAGCCTGGGAAATATTGCAAATTCTTTTTATTAATAATCTAACAATAATTATAACAACAGAATTTTGATGAAAAAAATTTTAAAGGGTGTGTATACAAGTAGAAACTTCATAACATGCTTGTAACAGAAGTAAAAGACAAATGAAAGACAGTTTTTAAGATTAAAAATCGACAAAAAACTAAACTTAAGGTATATTAACTTCTATCTAAGAACATTTACTAATAATATTAGTGCAGGAGTCGATACACACACTTCACTACTTAACATAAATCTCATAATAGCTAACAGGACTGTCTTCACCACTGACACTAGTACACACCCTCAACTCAATATAGTCAGTAGTGGTAGTGCTACCATAGTTTCTGTGAAACCATGGGATACCAGGAACATTACAACAAGGTGATTCAATAGAACTACAACCATAACCGTCCCATAGTGGATCAGATGTGTAGAGGGTACTTGATGGACTACTATAAGGATTACCAGATTCACAGAAGTAATTATTACCAATAAAAGACTGCTTTGATAATGTACTACCAGTATTACATGGGCATGAGCGTGATGAGACTTGATTGATACCAGCCATTAATGTCCAGACATGTTGACGAGGAGACCCACGAGTGATACTAACACCTTCAACGTAATAAGAATCAATACCATAATAATAATTAAGAGTATCTACATGGCCATATTGATATCCTGTTACTCTACCACATATTTGAGAATAACTGATACCGTTAGATGGGAACTTAACTGATACACAGCCACCACGAGATGATGATTTACCACAAGCTCTAACTCCTCCTGACTGGTACAGTGTAAACCCAGATGGACAGTTCTGTGTAGCATCAGTCATATCCAAATATGCCAGTCTTGTCCATCCTCCTCCTGAACCACACAGTGATCCCATATTACAGTAAGCAGTATAATCAGTTGATCCAAAGTCAGATGCTAATAAATAATATCCTGATGGACTAGTTGGAATTTGATTCTGTATTTGCTTACAAGATGTTGGAAGAACAAGGTGTGAATTGTTCAACAACAATAATGTTTGTTTAGTGAATAATTATGTATCATCAACCACTCCAGCAGTAGAGGTACTGGTGTTTTGTAGATTAGAGAGAGTATTGACAATGTTTAATAGCCTTTGTGCAGAATCTCTTGTAGTTTGTAAAATTTGTTTATCAAGTTCAGTGAAGTTGGGAGAGCTCTGAAGTAACTGAAAGGTATTCTGTGCCACTCCATTAGCCCATTGATTGAAGTCAGGAAGGCTTTGTGTTACATTGCTGTTAACTTTAGAGACAACACAATTAGCCCATTCATTGAAGTCAGGAAGGCTTTGTGTTACATTGCTGTTAACTTTAGAGACAACACCATTAGCCCATTCATTGAAGTCAGGAAGGCTTTGTGTTACATTGCTGTTAACTTTAGAGACAACACCATTAGCCCATTCATTGAATTCAGGGAGGCTCCCTGTTACATTGCTGTTAACTTTAGAGATAACACTGTTAGCCCATTCATTGAAATTAGGAAGGCTCTGTGTTACATTGCTGTTAACTTTAGAAGCAACACCATTAGCCCATTCATTGAAATCAGGAAGGCTCTGTGTTACATTGTTGTTAACTTTAGAGACAACATCATTGGCCCATTCATTGAAGTCAGGCTGCACTATTTTTTTATCAATGGTGCTGATCACATAATTAGCCCATTCAGTAAAATTCTGGCTGTTGTTATTTATTTCTTGATAAATATTGTGTGCCACACCATCTGCCCATTCACTGAATTTAAAATTTTTAATGTTACCAAACTTATTGTAGACTTTTTGAGCTACATAATTGGCCCATTCATTTGTATTACCACTGCTAGCACCAGTTGCAGCATTAGTGCACTCAACATTATTACAATTATTATATGCCAACCATCCTGCAATTCCCAGTATTATTATTAATAATATCAATATGAAACAGAGTAGTATTATTATGAAAAGTAGTTGCTTGTTCCAAGACGACTCCTTATGTTTTTGCTTACTTTCAGTATTAATATAAGGTGCTGGCAATGGAGGAGGTTGGGAAAGTGACTGTTGGTCTCTCACATCTTCTTTTATGTACATTTCTGCAAGTTCATACATGTTCTCGTTTGCTGGCTGCATTGATGTGTAATCATCATGAGACTCATAAAACTCTTCAAAATGTTTTGCCATATTTTTTGCAGATACAGTTGCAAAGATGAAGCTTGTTACTAATTCACTGGGGAATCGCATGAGGTCCTTTATATAGAAGTGTATAGTTTAGTCCCAAAGAATAAATTTTGTCTTTGGGAATTCAAACTGTATGGTTGATTTTATGGAAAATTATTTAACAAACATAACAAGGTTCATACCAATAAACACAAATACTATACATATAAATGTAATTGTTTATTAAATTATGTGTACAAGGAAATAAGTGCATATTCTTATGAACTAAATTATATTTTTGAATTATACATGTATACGTGGTAGCAATTGCCTTGTTTTTCTAAAATGATTACATGCAACTGAATATTAGCTTAAATCTGCTTTATAATGTAATGTAAAAGCATAGATGTGTATCAGTATTAACAAAAGAGAATTTTTGTAGCTAAGCCCTATTAATAATAAATTGATACAAGCAATAGAATAAATAGATTAATTGATTGCTTCATAAAATTATCTGACAAAATACAGAAATTTAAGTCTTCCAGCTGTTAAAGTTTTGAGTCAACAACTTAATTGTTATAATAAAACAAACAAGAGAGAGAGAACAAACAGACAGAGCAAAAAGAAAAAGTTCTTATATAGTAATCATAGATTCCAGAAACTTCCAATCCAGAAAACTCCAGAGAACATACATTACAAAACCTTAAAAGAGATACAGTAGAATACTCTGGAATGCTTTATGTAAACATGGTTAACTAAAATAACAAATACATACATGTACAAGTAGATTGCATGCAACAATGTCAATAGCATATATTTCCATCACCAGCCTCTCCCTTCATGCCTAAGAATATAGGAAAGGGAAAGTATGCAGAAGTTGATGCTATAACTGAAGTAGCCACTCCCTTACATGAGATACATTGAATATGGGTACACAACTAAAAACAACATCTAAAGTAATTATAGTTTAATGCATAACACCAAGAGTAGATAACATGATGTACATGTACATGTGTTATACTGACTTACATTGAGTAATGTAAACATGGTGAGACTAGGCAACACCTTCAAGAGGTAATCTGTCAAAATTAGTGGTCCTCTTAGCTAAAACTGCATTCAGCCTGTGCATGAAAGTGATAGAGAAAAAGAGAAATAGCGACATAATGAACATTGCCAGTGTGAAAAGGCTTCTACTTCAGTTTGTCCCACTTAACCATGCATAAAGTTTGAAAGAAGGAAGGAATTTGTACTAATACCTACACTAATCTGCATGACAATACAATCAGTTTACATGGATGATTAATAAACTATACTACCATCAAAGGAAGACGGCAAAATTTACATCATTTAAAGCATTCTAGTGTAAGAGTCATAGACTACATATGCTAATAATAACTAACAGGGCTGTCTTCATTACCAGCATTAGAACACCAGATACCAGAAGCATGACATTCATAACCATCCTATATAGGATCAGATATGCAGGAAGCAGTGTTCGGATTATCAGATTCACAGGAATATATAATTATTACTACTAATAAAAGACTTTACTGATAATGTACTACCAATATTTCATGGACATGAGCTTGATGAGACAATGAATACTGGAGTATTTATGATGACATCAGCACAATTAAAGTAAAAAATAGTTTAACAAAAATAAATAACTAGGGCACTATAAAAGCAATACAAACTAAGTCAAAAGTATCATAGTAAAACAAGCAAACTTTAGGACAATTACTTTACATAAATCTCATAAAAGCTAACAGGAGTATCTTCATTAGTGTAACCACAAACCCTCAACTCAATATAGTCAGTAGTGGTAGTGCTACCATAGTCTCTGTGAAACCATGGAATACCAGATGCAGCACAGCAAGTAGCTTCAAGAAGAACCACAACCTTGACCATTCCAGAGTGGATCAGTTGTGTAGAGAGTAGAAGATGCACTAGAAGCTTGATTACCAGACTCACAGAAATAATTAATGGTTTCCTACAAAAGATGGGACAGTCTGAGTACTGCCTGTTGAACAGGGACATACTGCACCTGTGGAGCTACTATAAGAATCAGTTAAACCATTTGCTAGTGTCCAGGCATGTTGACGAGGAGATCCACAAGTGATACTAACACCTTCAACGTAATTAGAGTGAGGCCACTTGATCCATAAAATGCATAAGTTCCTCCGTATTGATATCCTGTTACTCTACCACATATCTGAGAATACCTGATACCATTAGATGGGAACTGAACTGATACACAGCTACTACTGCCTTTTACTAATCTACCACAAGCTCTAACTCCTCCTGACTGGTACAGGCCAAACCCAGAGGGACAGTTCTGTGCAACATCAGTCATATCAAGATATGCTAGTCTTGTCCATCCTCCTCCTGAACCACATAGCTCATCCATATTACAGTAAGTAGTATAAGTACTTGATTCATCAGCTGTTGCTAATACATAATAACTTGATGAACTGCTTGGGTGCTGGCTTTTTAATTGCTTGCAAGAACGTTGTGACACTATCAGTATTATATTATCAACCACTTCAGCAGTAGAGGTACTGTGGCTTGTAAATTAGAGAGACTATTAGCGATGTTAATGAGCTTCTGTCAAGAATCTTGTGTAGTTTGTAAAATTTGTTTATCAATTTCAGTGAAGTTGATATTGCTCTGAAATAGTTGAAGAGTATTCTGCGATACACCATTAGCCCATTCAGTGAAATCAGGAAAGCTCCCTGTTACATTGCCGTTAACTCTAGAGCCCATTCATTAAAGTCAGGAAGGTTCACCGTTACATTGCTGTTAACTTTAGAAACAACACCATTAGCCCATTCATTGAAGTCAGGAAGGTTCATTGTTACATTGCTTCTAACTTTAGAAACAACACCATCAGCCCATTCATTGAAATCAGGAAAGCTCCCTGTTACATTGCTGTTAACTTTAGAGACAACACTATTAGCCCATTCACTGAAGTTAGGAAGGCTCTGGTCAACTTTAGAAACAATGCTGTTGGCCAATTCATTAAAGTCAGGCTGCATTATATTGTTATCAATGGTGTTGATCACATAATCAGCCCATTTAGTGAAGTTCTGCCCATTCACTGAAGTTAAAATTTTTAACAAACTTATTGTAATGAGCTACACATCAGCACATTCATTTGTATTCCCACTGCTAGCACCAGTTGCAGCATTAGTGCACTCAACGTTATTACCAGTAGCAATATAATTATTATATGCCAACCATCCTGCAATTCCCAGTATTATTATTAATAATATCAATATGAGACAGAGTAGTACCATTATAAAAAGCAGTTGTTTGTTCCAAGATGACTCCTTATGTTTCTGCTTATTTCTTAACATAAGGTGCTGGCAATAGAGGAGATTGGGAAAGTGACTGTTGGTTTCTCACATCCTCTTTCCTGTAGATTTCTGCAAGTTCATACATGTTCTCATTTGCTGGCTGCATTGATGTGTAATCTTCACTAGACTCATAAAACTCTTCAAAGTGTTTAGCCATAATTATTTGCACATGCAGTTGTGAAGGTGAAATTTGTTACTATTTATCGGGGGATTGCATAAGGCCCTTTATATAAAAGTGTATAGTTCAGTCCCAAAGGGTATGTTTTGTCTTTGGGAATTTAAACTGCATGAAGTTATGGTTGATTTTATGCAAAATAATTTAACAAACTTTTAACAAACATAACTAGCTAGGTTTGTACCAATAAACACAAATGCTATGTATGTACATGTAATTGTTTATTAAATTACACGTACAAGGAAATAAGTGAATGTTCTTATGAACTAAATTATATTTTTAAATTATACATGTACATAGTAGCAGAGCTCATTGCCTTGTTTTTTTGGAAATGATTACATGCAATTGAAAATTAACTTAAAAATTTGGTATTTATAATACTTATGCTTAACTAGTAAGTGATCTTAAGCTATTTACCTAACTATTCTATCAACATTAATACTTGCCAGACAGAGTGATATCATACATAACCTGAAATGTTATATAATAAAGTTTTGTGGAGAATGATAACCCGAATAATCCATAAGGCAAAATTCATTTCTATGGTGATCATTATCTGTAACGGACACTGTCACTACTTCCATTGAATGCTCACTACTTTCATTTTGTCTATAAATAGGTATTTTTAGCTTTTGTCCAAAAATCTTTTGAATATTGTTCTCTCATAAGTATAGTGACACTGTGTGTGTGTGTATCACAAAATTAACAACAAAGTGCCATCCCTTTAGACTATCTAAATCTTCAACCACAAGTCCACAAAAATTAAAATCACAAATTGCCACATAGGGAGTAAACAATAAAATAATAGACCCATGAAAATAAACCGTTATATGAGATACTGTTATTTCAAGTAATAAGTAACTTCTAAGCCCTATTTTAAATTGTTTTCAAAAAGTAGTTGAGCTATTCCTTCATAAAAAAACCAAATCACAGTTTCCAATTAAAAAAAAAATGAGGCCCAACCAGTATAATTTATATTGTATTTATTATTGACAGGACATCAGATCTAATAGCTTCTAAATTGATAACTCAGATTTCAGAAAAACTCGTTTTTGTATCACTTAAGAAATGATATAAAACATTCTCATAGACTTCTATCAACAATTGAGAAGCTTACTAAAAAATGCTTAGGGACAGAGACAAACTTAGTTTTCACAAATACTAAGTTTATATAATGGTACTTATGGTAGCGATAAATTCATGCTATATGTATTTGAATTTTATGCAGTAGTTTTTATTCAAATCATGGCGATATATCTTAATACAAACATCATCATACTCATCATTATACCAAAACAAAATAGTTTCTCCAATTAAAATAGCTTCCCATCAGTTGTTGTTATAGCTAGATACACATTATGAAATATGTACTCATTTGTACCAGTTAATTAGCCATTCATTTATTCTCGGCACTTACAATGGAAAGGGAAGAGAATCTAACTTATGACAATCTGATGTGTGACACAATAGAGGAGGAACCTGTGTATGAGTTGTGCCAATCACCAGCTGTTAAAGCAAGGAGGCCAGAACAGAGTAAGAATTTAAAGCAAAAGAAAAACAAGAAGCAAACAACATGGAATAAACCAATCTTCATTCTGATTGTGCTACTGTCACTGATGGTAATATTACAGATTAGCATCCTTTGCTTGTTACTGGTCAATATGTCTACCAGAGATACAACTAATACTGATGCTACTACTGGAGCTATTTCTGGTAATATTGGATCACCTAATTTCATTGAGTGGGCTAATGTTGTTGCCTCTAAAGTCAATAGCAATGTGACACAGAGCCTTCCTGACTTCACTGAATGGGCTAATGGTGTTGGCTGAAACTCGGCCGAGGTCCATTGAGAGAAAGTAAATACATTGGACTCATTCCACTGAGTTGGATCTACAGGAAAGGAACATTCAATTTACACGTGATGCTGTTGCTTCATGGTCTTGCTGCAGTTACCTGATGGAAGATGTGTTTCTTGAAAAAACTTTTGTACAGTGTCGTCAAAGTGTTGCTGAATCCTCGCGGCATCACCAAAAGTGTTGAATACTCGTGAGAAGAGCTAGCCTCACCAATGCTAACTGGCCTGTCAAATGGCACTAAATCAAATAAAACAAATTAAAT